ATGCCTCCAGATCCTCAAGGGCCTTCCTGACCCTTTGCTGGTCGCAGCCTTCGCTTCTCCTTTCGCTTCCTTCGCATCCCCAATCACTTCTCCTTCTTCCTCATCATCTACTTCCACCCTTTTTTATTTTCCTCCAATCTCTTCCTCTCCTCCTCACAAACTTTCTTTCTTTTTCTTTTTCCTCTTTTTTCTTCTTCTTTTCCCATCCTTCTTCCTCTCCTCAAACTCTGGATCCCCGGGCTGCAAACTGATCATTCCGGATCGGTGCTCTCTGGCTGTCATTGTACTTGTCTGGAAGAAACCAAGAGGGAATAGGAACCCTAGTAACGGTCCCGAGATCATGGTCAATGAGACGAAGGCGAACATGGGATGGTCGTCCATGGTGAGATGTTAGTACAGCAGGTAAGTATGCTCCACCTCCTCACCACTTGGACCTAACCCTCAAAACTTACAGCCCTCAACACTTAATCCTGACCTAATCCTAAAGGTTGACCAGCCCTGGCATGGCCCTACTTTTCATGAATTTCCTTCTCTCGAGCCTTGATCATTTCCCTCATGAATGTCATGATGTCCCCCTCATTAGGCCCAATGGAGGAACTCGTCCCTCTTCCAACCAGTATCTCTCTTGTCTCTTCCTTCTCCCTTTCCAACCAGTATCTCTCTTGTCTCTTCCTTCTCCTATCTCTCACACACGTTTTTCCTTCAGCCTCAAATAATCAGGGTAACTCCAAGCCTTTACGCCAGCTTTGGTCCAGAACTTCTATTCATATGGATTTCCCTTCACTTGTTTACTCGACTCCTGTTAACCTTAGGATTCAATCCTGGTCTTCTTGTTCATTTTCTTTTTCCAATCCTGGTCGTTTTCTTCATGATTTTACCAGTTGGGCCTTTCCTTCTTGCAAGCTCTTATCGGTGCTAAACCAATGACGGCCCATTTGGAAACACAAATCACAAAACGATGGACATGGACCTGACTATGGTACCAACCATGACTTCGACTGCAACCGATCACATAGATCTGGTGTTCGAAGAGATTAAGGGTATCAGGATATCGCAGCAGGAATTGCAGGAAGCAGTGGACTGTAGATTTGAGGCAAAGACTCCGAAATTTGAGGACCTCATTCCAGAAGCACTGGAGAAGATGAGAGAGGATAGTAGGAGTCCAAAGGGCGAGAAGGAAGAGAAGGTGAAGCCCAAAGATGGAGGCAATGGAGATAGAGACAGAGATGGTGACGATAGTGGTGATGAGGAGATAGACATTCCTGGCCATCACACTGAAGCAGTGGTGTGACGCCCAACCTCACGCCCAGCGCGACTTCCTGATCGGAGTGGAGTGTGGGCCTGGAAGTGCGAAGAGGGGTGTGCCAAGGATTTTTGGGGGAAGTGGGGGAGTCTTAAGGATATGAATGTAATTGGGCAAGCGAGGGGTGCGCACGCAAGGGTCTCACAGTCCCAAGGGACCAGGACACTGTGGACGACGGGTTACGGGAAAATTCCTCCGTGGTGGAGGTGGTCCTGAAAAGTTAGGCCGTCGGGGGCCGCCACGTGGCGCAGGCCGCCGCGTACCTGGGTTGGGCCTTCGGAATTCCGGAGCGCTCTGCGTGCTGTTGCGTCGGCAGTTCACGCAAAACGTATTGGGCCAATAGGGGGCTATGGCCGGCCACGGAACGACACTGAGTTGATGATACGGGAGAAGGAGGCGGAAAGGAGGGAAACTAGTGGTGATCTCAACGAATCCCGGGTGGGTGAAGTAGTAGGTGTGGTCGGGGGAAGGGAAATCGGAGCACCGAGGGTCGCTAGTGGTGGCACAGTGGAATTCCCGTGGACATAGTCGATTCTCCGTGTGACAGGGGTATCGCGTCCTTATGAGCTCGTTGATTATAGGGGTGAAATAGTCCGGGTCATAGGACGAGTCTGAGCCCCAAGATCGCGTCATGGTATCATTGCCGATGGGATAGCGCAGGTCGGGATATCGTCACCGCGCACGAGCACGTGTAGGACAGGCTGTCTCAGTGGCGCCTCAGCGTGCTCGTACGGGATGACGGTTCCGCCGACGTACGGAAATGCGTGTAAGGGCGCGACTCGGGCCGCATTTACACGTGTTCTCGCGTGGCGTTCGCGGAGCCAGACCTCGGATCGTTTAATTGCTTCGGATTATGCAAGATGCAACCATATCACAACCCTCATCGTGAGACAAGCAAAAACGAGAACAAAATCGCTATCGGGGCGAGATTCTTATCCCATCTACAGCTGCATCAGGTGTGGGCAAAGATTTGTTACAAACGAGCAAACAGATATACAAGTAGGCGTAACGTGTACACATCCACACATTCATACATCCATACATTCGATAATCATACACATAATGAAAGCAAAAGCGGACATCGCGAAGACAAATGGGAGCAAAAATCCAAGCCCAGATTTCAGAAAGCCGAAACGAAGATAAGAACGGGCCAACCCGCCCGGGGCCGTAATCAAAATGTATGTACACAGGTGAAGAGGGGGGGGGGAGAGACAAAGAAACCGCAAATCCACATCCATCATCCTCGACTCTCTCTTCCTCTCTCTCTCTCTCTCTCTCTCTCCGATGCGGACAGTCCGTCGTCACGCACCAACCCATGAAGTTGTCACCCCGCTTAGTCCTCCCGCACCCGTCGGATTCGCCCGTGCCCACAGTCCGTCGTGGCCCACGTCAATCCCGCGCGTTCGGCACCATCCCGTCGGGTCGCCCAACTCCTACTCTACTCACCTCTTACTTCGCTCGTGTGCCGATCCTTCCTGATCGCGCAACCCCGAGCTTCCAACAAGGGGTTAAGAGAGCTCACTAATCGCGCAGCCAAAATTTATAGCGTGCATGCATGCGCGAAGAACGCAGAATTAATAGGACTTAGAGTGAGGGTTAAAGAAAGGACGCCTGCGTTCTGCATGATCGGTCGCGGCGTGGGGGACGTAACCCTTCTCCACGAATCGATCCGAGCATGCAGGCCGCGACTTACAAAATTCCAGCAAAAGAAAGAAAGGGAGGGCGGGAGAGACGAAGTGCAAGAAGAGAGATACAGTTACAGTGGCGCCCGCCCAAAATTACAGTTACACATACGATTAAGGGCGCCCACTAAACAGAGTACCGTTGCAGCCGCATGAAGAAGCGCGTGAACAAAAAGCGCCGCGCGGCTGGAAAAATCCTAATTACTAAATTCCTAAATTCCTATCTAATGCGAAAAAGCAAAAGGCACAAATTCCAGAAGGAAAGTCCGAAATTCCGAGAGCCATTGGGGCTCGACAAAAATTCAAAAAGGTTTCAAAAGAAAATTAAAAAGAGCGCATCAATTTCCCGCGCGATGTTCGCGCCCAAAAAATCGAAACCGAACCGAAAGAAACAACGTCAACATTTATTAATTCGCGCGCGCGAATGGCGACGCGCCAGACATCCATCCGACCACTCACTCAACCGGCCGTCCCAGGACACACCCAGCCCCGAAGAAGCGACGAAAAAGACGAAGAAGCAAGGGTACTGATGCAGTTTTCCACCGATCCCGATTTCCCGTAATTGGCCCAATCTTCCCAGCTTAGGACCCCTCGTTGCAACCGCGCAGAAACTCGCGCGTTACAGAAAGTGGTTCGTCATAGTGGAAGTAGATTGAATGAAGGTAGGTAGAGCACTCGAGACAAGGTAAAGCTGAGGCTGCCTGACCCCATGTTTGATGCCAGGTGGCCGCGGGTCTATCCAGTAACCTACCGAACAACCCTTTTACCGGAGACATACATGACCTCCTTGTGTACAACCACCGTCTTTGGAGGCCATAGGAGACGGTGGGATTCTGAGAGATGAAGTACTGACATATGATGTGCCTAGAATGCTTTCAAAATTCTTTCTGTTAGGTCATCAATCTTCAGCATTCTAAGTGAATAGCACTGAGCCCAAGGCATGATTTATCATTCACTCTTGCGAAAGAGGAGAGGATGGAGTCAGTGTGATTCTGAGAGATTGAAGTCCTCGCATATGATGTGCCTAGAATGTTTTCAAAATTCTTTCTGTTAGGTCATCAATCTTCAGCATTCTAAGTGAATAGCATTGAGCCCAAGCATACTTGCAACCGCACGAGCTGCAGATTCGTGCGGAGTTCCGTGCGTGCAGGTTTTTATTTTTATTATTTTTATTTTTATTTTTTCGGGAGGGGGGACAGGGGGGCATATGACAGGAAGATGGGGATATGGCGAGGATATGGAGAGGAGGAGGATGTGGACGAGGAGGACGACGAGGATAGCGAGGACGATGACGAGGAGGAGGAGAAGAGATGGACGGAGGGAAAAGAAGAAGGGCAGGAGGAGGAGGACAAGTGGGAGGAGGAGGAGACATGGATGGCGAGGAAGGGGAGGACATGAGGAAGGGGAGGACACGAGGAAGGTAAGGAGACGAGAAGGCATGGGAGATGCGGAAGTACAAGGAGGAGGAGACGAGGAGGAGGAGGAGACAAGGAGGAGGAGGAGACGAGGAGGAGGAGACGAGGACGATGAGGAAGGGCAGGAGGAGGACGAACAGGAGGAAGAGGAGGAGTTGGAGGAGACGAAAAGGAGAAGGGAGGAGGAGACATGGAGGACGAGGAAGGGGAGGAGGAGCGAGGTGAGGCAGCACTCCTGCAATTTTTTTTTTCATCCCAGTTATAAGTTTGGTGGGGGGCCTCGAATGCACCATTTCGACCCCCGGCCTTCTGTTTTTTTTTCGGAGGGGGGTGACGGGTCGTTTCCTGCACACGTCGTGCGCCGCACATCGGGAACCACCCGCATGAGGTGCGCTTGCAAGTATGAGCCCAAGGCATGATTTATCATTCACTCTTGCCAAAGAGGACGAGTCCATGAGCAAGAGAGGAAGGAGAGGTGAATGAGAGATGAGAAGGGGGGATTCAAGAGGGAAAAGGGGGAAAGGGGAGGGGGTGGCCATTAGATAAGGGGGAGGGCAATAGGGACAAGTGGAATGGGAGGTAGGTTGGCTTCTGGCGAACCTGAAAGAGGCAGGAGAGTGATATCATGTGCAGAATAAAGAGCTAGCCGGGGCTTCAATGGATCAGCTTTTTCGCGATGCTCAACAGCTTTCTTCATGTCACGATAAAGCTCTGTTATCATTCTTCCACCAAAGAATGGCATCAGCCCTTCATGCTGCAAAAATCAAAAGGATAGCATTTATCAAGTCACCACTTTTCACTGTACTGAGTAATCAGTTTTTCGGATGTCTGACAAGATCCACTTCGCAATAACGCATTCATCCCACCACCAATTACCAGACCAATAGCTAGGCTACCAGAGTGGCCTGGGACCACTTGCCCCCCCGGGCCAAAAAAAAAGTTAAAAAATGAAAAAAAAAAAGTTTTCTAGGCTACCAGCCGGGCCGCCCGGGTCACCCTATTTCCCAGGCCACCAGGGAAGGTCCTAGGTCCTAGCAAAAAAAAAGAAGACCAAAAAAAAAAATGTTATGCAGAAAAATAAACTGCACAACTTTTGCCGCAGGGTCACATTGAAATTCTTTACCAAATTAATTAGAATTGGTAATTTTCTTTGAGTTTTTAGGATAGGGGAATTAGGGTTTTTAGTGACGAGTTTTACATTTCCTCAGTGTTTCATTCCTCGGGGATAATTTAGATGGTGGTGGAAATTTTCGTTTACTCTTTTGAGTTGTTGGGACTCTGAAATTGACAGTGGGATTAAATCTAGTGGTGTCCTCTATGTGTTAGGCCGGTGATGCCTAGCCCACTGAGGGCCCCACGTAATTTTGTAAGGGACGCCAGGCCCGGTTCTCGGCTGTTATAAAGACATTGCTAATCAAAAAAAAAAAAAAAAAAAAAAAAAATCTTTACCGAATTTATTAATTTAAAATAAATAAATTTAATAAATAAATAAATAAATAATAATTCTCTTTTTTTTTTTTGGCCCGGCCGGGCAAGTGGTCCCAGGCCACTCTGGTAGAGAAGATTGTTTTTTTTTTTTTTTTTGCTAAAGATTTTTGATGTGACTCTGAGGCAAAAGTTGTTCTGGCATTGTTTGGTTTTTATGGCCTGTCGCATATTTTTGTGTTGGTTCAGTTTGTTTGGCTTTGCAGGTCTGTGCCTTTTTTCTGTTGGCTGGGATTTCAGAACAGTGGCCCAGAATTGGCTTTTTAAGTTTTTATGTTCCTGGATTTTTCCTGGCCTTCACTTTCTGTTGGAACGAGGCTTTACTCGTAAGCTAAACTGGCTGATGCTGGCAGGATAACTCCGGGTTGAATTGTGAGGTCCCCGGCCTCAATTTGACATGTTTTAAGTTTTAACTTTTGATACAAATGCTTTTGCCAAAAAAAAAGAAAAGAAAGTTGCTCAGTTTATTTTTCTCCATAACGTAGTTTTTTTTCGGACTGTTTCTTTAGGCTACCAAAGTGGCTCGGGACCACTTGCCTGGCCCGGCCAAAAATATACATATGCAGCCTCCTGATGAGTCGGTGAAACTCCGACGAAACAGTTTGTCACAGCCCCTCGTTTGTTGTCCTCTTCTCTCTCTCTGCCTACGGTTTACCGGGCAGTTCTGTTTGTGACGATATATATGCAGACACTAGCGCAGCATTGCAGCAGCATGTCCGAATTACCTGCCAAGGCCAGAATGTCACTGCCAGGGCGAGGCACTTTCCTTTATGGAAAGTGCAGCCCTTCTTCTGGCTGCATGGGCCTGGCCTCAGAAGCTTCCAGTAGCTTCCAGTCAGGCCCCAGTATCTTCGCCCAGGCCCACTTCTACTGTATGGGCCTGGGCCTCTTACAGTTGGGTACGTGTAGGCAGCCGTCCAGGCTCCAAGTGTTTGCAGCATTCTCATTGGCTCGCGGCACATGTGCGATGACAATGCTGCTTCCTCATTGGCCCGCGGCAAGTCCGTGATGTGTCGGCCTCACAGAGTCGTGTGGCCATGGCACAACCACATGAGCCCTGAGCTCAACTGTACAGCGCAGCCCTTGCTTCTGGAAAGAGCCTGGAGGCTCACATTGCTCTATAACCAACTGGTGTGCTGCGACTGTCTGAGTACCCACATATGGAAAATGTCGAAAACAGGCCTCATGTGGATATGCAGGCCCGCCTTCACTTAGGGCGGGCACGCCCTTGCTGAGGGGCGGTCCACAGCCCAGAATAATTGTATGTGTGATAAGGGCTCCGCGAGGCTCATTCCTCACATTACCAAATTTAAAATAAAAAATAAAATTAAACATAGTCGGTGAAACTCCGATGAAACAGTTTGTCACAGCCCCTCGTTTGTTGTCCTCTTCTCCCTCTCTGCCTACGGTTTACCGGGCAGTTCTATTTGACGATATATATATATACAGCCCCTCGTTTGTTGTCCTCTTCTCTCTCTCTGCCTACGGTTTACCGGGCAGTTCTATTTGTGACGATATATTTGTGACGATATATATAATTGTTATAGCCTGCTGGTCGGACGTGCGCGAGGGCGCTGAGGTGAGGGGCGCTGCTGAGGCAGCGGGCGCACAGCAGCCATAGCCGGGCTGCAGGGGCGCAGGCAGGTGATGGCGAGGGTGGTCTTCGGGTAGGAGGTGCATGATGTGGGGAGACGAGGGGTGATGACGAGAGGAGAGAGAACATCCCCGATGTATGCTGGTGGTCGCCATTTGTGTTGAGGTCATGTACATTGGTCTTCGACTTCGGTGTGATCCAGTCCCATGGACGTGGATAGATTTGATAGGCTGAGTAGAGTAGGCCGGGCGCTGAGCGCCAGACAGTAGGGGCAACATTGGATACGGTGTTGGTGTGACCAGAGAGCGTCAGCATTGGCACTCGAGTTCTTCGTATTGCTCTTATTTGGATGGTATCTTGGTGCTTTTGAGCTCTCCGCTTGGTACATGACTATCTGGGGTACTTCGTGATTTTGCAA